AGATGTTGATAAGCTAATTTCCTGCCACATTAAAGAGTTATATAATTTAAGTTGGAAATAAAAACCACACTACAATTTAGAAAACAAAACAAAAACAAACAGTGTAATCCAATTTATCTAATGTTGTTATATTAATGATCTCATTTTCACTTTAAGAAGGAAACGTCTGCGGTTGGGAAGGTCTGAGATTTCTTCTTTGGTTGCTCTCAGACCTTTAAACATCACCAGGGCTGCAGCTGAAAATCATAAAAACTAAAACTATCTTTTGCTTATCTAAATATGAGCAATAACAATTATAATACATCCGTTCTTTTATGACTTAATGAAAGAGCACTTATAGCACAAACACACACTTTAGGTGTTTTCAGTGCTGTAATTTACTGTCTGATTCCTTTCATGTTGCAGACGCTCACATCACTGCTTTTATGTGGTTAACCTCTTATAATAACATGGTTTTACCTGAATCAGTTGCTCTGCTCCCAGATATCGCCCCTTTCATGCGAACATACTCATACTTAGATCAATAAATCCTGGGTTAACTTATCAAGCTCATAATCACCTTTGATCGACGGCTTAGCCTGATTGCTAATGCTGAAGCCAGAGAAAGAAAAGTGACCTGGTAATATTGAACTTGCTTCAAAGTACAGGGCCCATACCATGATGCTCCCTCCACCGTGCCTTAGAGTTGTGATGATGTGTTGCCTTTATTCCTTCAGACTTAGCATCTTTGCACACAAGACACTGCTAAATAGGTGATGTGAAACATTGAGGTGGCATTTTGCAAACTTTAAAATTTCAGCAATGCTTTTTTTTTTGTTTGTTTGTTTGTTTGTTTTTCATTTTGAGTGGTTGCTTCCTTCCTGTGTCCTTCCATAACCACCATTCATTTTCAGTGTTAAAGATATATTTCAGGAAGTTGCAGAGATTTCTGCAGGTGTTTCAGTTTGACTCTTTGGTACTTCTACTCTCGCTGAACACTTTTAAGGTCTTTTAAGGTCTTGTCACCTACCAGTCTTTCTTGAAATGAGCCAACAGTAATCTGCCTTTTTTATAGGTAAGGACATCTCTACACCCATCTCTGCCACTTATTTCACTTACTTTTTTCAAAAATCATATTGAAGTCATGGGTAAAACTGTTAGTGCTGTTTAGTCACATTGTTTTTTGAGTTTAAATAAATGTCAGTTGATTGTTTCACTTAAAGCAATCAATGTAGAACTCAAAGCATTTCCTTTATCTCCTTTTAGTCAAAATCTCCTCATTTTGTTTGCCTGTCCTTTACTTGGAGCTCCTGTGCAGTAGACTGCACAAATCCCTGACTGGACGATGACTTTTTGACTGCTAACTGTGAGTCACAAGCAGCGGAAAGGGGAAAATGGTACAGTGTAAGCCTAAAAGTGATAACATCATCTAATTTCTAATAGCACAAAACCTACCAAAACAGCTAAACACTTTATCCTGGGGTGATTTACGATGATTACCTTGATGTGGTCACATGTTTTCTTTTAGCCTTAATTTACCCAGAATTCAGCAAATAAGGTGTATTTGACATAGCAGACAGTTTTGTGAAATGCAAATATTTGGATCTGTTTCTGAATTTGCGAAACTGACCCCTGACCCACAGGAGAAGCTGCATCATTTACCGTTACCCAGCTACACTATTTGCACCGCGTACACGGCAGTTCTTCTGCGATCTGGTCAGTCCAGTGTTTAAAGATCATCATATCAAAGACAATAAAAATACCACTTCTTCAAATTCTGAGGCGAAAATGTCTCTCTCTGGGTGTTTGAGATTTTTATAAAAAGGCAAGCTGAACTTTAAAAGAAATTTCTTGAGATAGTGAGGACGATTTATTTTAAATTATATGTAGGAAAAGAACAGGTTTAATAGTCTTTCAGGTTTATCCAAAGCACAATCACTAAATTGTGTCCCCAAAGCTTTCCTGATGAGAAAACACTGAAATTGTCTGCAGGGTCAAATGTACAGAGTGCTGTGTGTGACCTAAAAACACACAGCACCCCCACCCCCCGACTGTACTGGACCTTCGTGCTGCATGTTTCCGCATAGATGTCCAGCTAAATCAACAATAAATCTCGGGTATATATCACAGCAGTATATTTTAATCTTCCATACATATTAACAAACAGACAGACCCTGTACTTACCGATAATAAGTGGAGGAGTGCTGTTGCTGGGTACTTTAGATTTGGCTGGGGGAGGAAAGACAACGTTGACGATCCAGAAACCTGAGGAGTGATGAAGCCCCAGCAGAAATGCAAGCAGCAGCACTGAGCTCAAGTGTCCTGCGGATCCCATCTTTTCCTTCGGGCAGCTGTGGCGCTCTGGACGGAGCACAGTCTGTGCGCTGCAGCTGGAGGCGGAGGCAGAGGCGGGCCAGCCGGGAAGAAAACACGCGAGGTCACACCAGAGGAAACCCTGTGTTTACCATCTCTGAAGTAAAAGTGCATCCACACGTCCTGGACTGCTGAGTGCTGCGGGAACCACGTTTAATTCTCTCAAGGCCTGCGCTAAGAGTGTCTGGTCAGAGTGGCACGCAGGAGCAAATAAAACGTGTACAGTACGGGTACACTGCCCTATCGATTCCTCCTACGTGTGTTTATTTACGCCTCAGAAGGCAAATGATTGACAAAGACTATTTTTTTAATGAAAGTGTTCTGAATTTTTTTTCAAATTAAAATAATTAAAGCAAGCAAAGCCAAATGTGATGTCTACAACGTGAAGCTGAAGTGAACGTATCCCACTTCTCTTCACAGACCAGCTTTGAATGTATGCACAGAGAGATTTCCAAAAAGCCCCCAAAAGGTTATTCCTGATGTTTTACATTTTTAAAATGTTCAATATCCTTATTTATTCTGGGTAATTATCTTATAGTCTACAGGATTTAAGAAGGAGTTATTTTTAAAATAATGAAATGACTTATTCTATGTCCTTCAATTTCTGCTACCCTCTTGGCCAGATCTCTCTGAAAAAACACACTTTTACTGTCAACGAGCAGTTTAACCTGGATAAATACATCATAAGTCGTTCTGAGCCAGAAAGAACGTTTTAGTCTTAAGGTAGATCCCCAATCATTTTTTTTTGGCAAAGTGACTTTTATATAACCCCAATGTATCTAGGTGTAAAGTCCCAATGACGCGAAAAATGTGATTTTTGACAGACATTGTAACAAATATGACATCACAGTTCTATAAAAAATATTTTAATTGGAAAAAAGGACTGCAAATGATAATAACTGATAATAATTTAGATAGAATAACGTCAAACATACTTACAAAAAAGGTAACTTCCCTTCGCAAATCCTGCTGAGTACTGTCTATTTATCAGTATGAGCCATCATATTGGATGTCCGTGTAAAAGAACAAACAAAAAAAAAACAACCCAAGAATCATTTTTCAGCTACTGCTTCCTTCGCATTCCTTGTAAAATTTGGAGGAACAAATGGACGTTTGTGTGGAAATGTTTCTTGTTCACAAGCTTGTCCAGGTGTCAGTGGTGTTCCCCAGGGTTCTGTCTTAGGCCCCCTAATATTTATTATTTATCTTTTACCTTGAGGTAACATTTTCAGGAATTTTGGCATACATTTTCATTCCTATGCTGATGACATCCAGCTTTATCCACTAAGCCTAGTTTGACCCTTCCGACTTCTTTTCTCACTGACTGCTTACTCAACATTAAATCGTGGTTGTCTGCTAATTCTCTTAAATTCAACAGAGACAAAACAGAAGTTATGTTCTGGATAACTTATCTTTGTATGACAAGTTCTAAAATCTCACCTTCCTCCCATGTTAAGAGCTTAGGTATTGTTTTTAAGCGTCTTAAATTTTGAAACACATATCAATAATATCACTTGATATGTATATTATGTATATTGTATATATATCGGCTACATCCTTGCCTTAGAGGTAACAGTATTGCTGTTTTTGTACGTCCTCTGGTTACATCCAGTATTGATTATTAAAATTCTATCATCTCTGGCTTACCACACAAACTTCTTCATAACTTTAGCTGCTTGTGTCATTACCAGAATCCCTTCCACAGAATATACTACTCCTGTCCTTCAACAGCTTCACTGGCTTTGTCTAAAATATTGCATTAATTTGAGGATCTTAATTCTTACTTTAAAGTCTCTCCATGATCACCTAAGTTACAAACTTCCTTAGCCTGACAGCTGAGTTGCTTGTTCAGTCATAAGCTGGAGATGTTTAAAATAAATTACAAAAAAAATATTTGTTTCAGTAAAATTTTTGTCTGAGCATCACAACATCCTGGTCACAATACATTCTGTCCACCTAACTGTGCTTCAGTCACTTACACAATCCGCTTGTAGGCTGCACCCCACAGTTAACCTATCCATGTGAGGTCACCATAGAAGGTACATCACTGTAAATGTTTGTGCACGTTAAGTAGGACACTGGTCATATCCTCATATGTCCTTCCACCTGGAATTTCCCTGACACCAACATAACATGAGAATTTGAGCAAACAAAAAAAAAGAGAAACAACTATGAATGGATCTACTAATTCATTCCTAACACATATTCATTACAGATTTTTGTAAAACAAATTGTGTCATGGTCCCTGTATATTCGACCCAGCATTAGTTGTTCTTTTTTTAGTTAATACTATCTTTAGATCATGATTCTGGGTTCTGGATTAATTGTATTTTAGCTTGGGTAAAAGACCGAAAGTTGAGGCACACAATGATGTGTGCCGCTGGTAAAGTTTCTGGGGTCCCTTTCCTCATAACAGCCATCCCTCAAGATTTTCTCCATTTAAAGCAATGCATTATCAGGGACTGTAACATCTAGTCCTTTTACTGAATCAGGATTTAGTTTCATGTCAAGTTCTGTTCTTGGTGTTTTGGTTTGCTCTTTATTCCTTGGGTCCCTGTTTATTCCCACCTACCTTATGTCTGGCTTAGTCTTCGTCTCTGTTTATCTTGTGTCATGTTAGTCTTGTCTCCCTGTTCAGTTGTGACTCACTGACTGTTCTGTTTTAGTGACTGTTCTTGTCTGTATCATATGATACAGACAAGAACAGATAAGAACAGATTAAAGACACATATGTGTCTACTTTAACTTCTTCCACAGTCATTTTGTTATTTGGCTGTGTTCCCACCTGTTTCCCATCTCCTTGTTATCCTGTGTGTGTGTGTGTGTGTGTTATCACAGTCTTCCTTGTCCTTAGTCGTGTCATGCGTTACACCAGCACCTCTCTAGTCTCTAAGACAAGTTAGTTCCACTTTTCTTTGACTAACTGCAAAGTTTTATAGATGAACCTTAATTCTTTGGCTTTGCCCAATTTATCTTGATAACATTTTGTCCCATAAAGTTGAATTGGTTTGAATTACCCGGAACACTCTTAATTACGTTTGGGTAGTGTATCCATTTTAATGGATTAAATTCTGGAGTCTGAAAAATATATAGCACCATTTCACAACCACAGTCATTTCAGCGTGTTTTATATTGTAAAGTAAAGACCCTACAATATTAGAAAGAAAAAAAAACCTCTAACAATCAAACAACCCCCTATGAATAAGTATTTGGCAACAGTAGAGAGGAAAAAACTCCCTTTGGATAGGAAAAAACCACTGGCACAACTAGTCTCAGCAAGGGGCAGCCACCTGCAGTGAGTGGTTGGGGGGGTGAGGGGAAAGAGAAGAGAATTGCTGTTAAGTATAAATACTAATGAAATGACAAGAAATTAGATTTAGACAATGCTATTCAAGGAGCTTTATCTTATATATATGTTATACAATAGGGGTGGGCAACTCCAAGGCCTCAAGGGCCTGTGTCCTGCAGGTTTTAGATATCACCCTGGGTCAACACACCTGAATTAATGAGTAGTTCATTACCAGGCCTCTGGAGAACTTCAAGACATGTTGAGGGGATAATTTAGCCATTTGAATCAACTGTGTTGGATCAAGGACTCATCTAAAACCTGCAGGACACCGGCCCTTGAGGCCTGGAATTGCAAACCCCTATTATAAAAGCTTTATCTTTTATATCATAAATACTAGTGGCGTTTGGAAGAGGGCGCTAAAAAGACAAACTACTACTTTTTCTCACAAAAGAAAAAGTGTGTGACCCGGAAGTGGGTGGGTCTTGGGTTGTGTAGAAGAAGAAGCTAACAGCTAGCCTCCGGGAGCTGCAGGTTCTGTCTTTAGCCATCAACATGGTCCAACTTGTGGGTTCCCTCCGAAAAGAGCTGGCTGATTCCATCTCCACCTGCAAGGTCCTGGTAGTGGGAGCAGGAGGGATCGGCTGCGAGCTGCTGAAGAACCTTGTACTCACCGGCTTCAAAAACATCGAAGTGGTCCGTCCCGTTCACGCTGTTTGTTTGTGTGGCTGTGTCTTTGGTAGCTAGCCGGCTAGCATGCTAACTGGTTCTTTGTGCTGCAATGAGTGTGTCAAGAGGAGACGTGTGGGCTCAGGCTAATTGCTGAGACGTGGCATTCAAAGATGAGCTGTATTACTATCTCGCTGGTGGTTTGTTAACACCGCGTGAACAGGGTCAAATGGGCCGGCAAGGATATCTATCTGTGAGGGTGGAAAAAAGTCGAACGAGATCGTAGCGATGTAGCCGGGATGTTTGGCGCCATTATCACTGCTAAGTTAGCCAGTCAACTTCTTTGTAAGGACACCGCGGGCTGTGTGCCACCATGGAGCTGCTTAGACATCTCCGTGCTTAGCCATGGACGATGTATTATAGGGGGAAAACATCCTCACTGGATCTATCAACGCAAAATTAATTTATTCATAGAATGTATGTGTGTGCTGGTTGGGGGCTGAGCGTGAGGAGTTCACGGGTGCTCAAAAAGTGCTGTTAAATTGTGTATTAAATTCTCCCTTACGTACTGTGTGGTTTAGAGCCAAGGACGACCCCCCCCCCCTTTCAAAAGTGTCTACCAATTTTTTTTAAACTGCAGAATGCATAAATGGCCAATCTGACATTAATAAATAGAGGCTTTAAATTTTACAACACTGGTAGGGGAAAAAACACCAAGCACACTGTATTGTCATCACACTGTTGTACCTAAGATATAACACAACCGCCACATTGATTTAATAAATATGTGTTACTGAAAATGGAAATGGCAAGAGCACTTTGGAACTGTTGAGATTTATTATATCATTATGTATAACAATTAGAGCTTACTTCTATATCAACTACCAGTTATTATGTTATCAAGTTGTTATTGATTAACACTTCGGGCACTTAACCATACGTTCTTTGGGCATCATAATCTATACACTTAAAACTCTTTACCAACCTCAAATCAATGGGCAGTTAGAATAATAAATTAACATAATGTGCATTTCTTTTCACTGTGAAGCCAGAGTGAACAGGAAGAGCATGCAAACTTAACACACAGTCACCTCAGCCAGAAGCCTGCATGCTTTGAGGGGACATTTCTAACTACTGCATTACTGTGCCTATTACAGATCTTATTTGTGTCAGGGCACCCTCTGACCTCTGTTTCTTTTGTCACTGTCCATAAAGTAGTGGTTTACACATTTGCCTGACAAGCGATAGATCTGATCAAACGATGTGGATTGACCCACTGTGGCAACCCTTTGTGAATAAGAGAGTACCCAAAAGTAGGTTTCGGTGTTTTGAGGGTCCTCCATGACCTCAGCAAGTGCCATTCTCTTCAGGAAGCTGGGTAAATGTAGTGGGAACGCAGACATTTCCTTTTCACAGTGACAGGGTCTGCGTTGAACTTTGTCACCATTGAGGGTCTGTGAGGCTTCTGGTTTTCAAACTACAGACTGATGTCTCAAGTTTGCTCCTACTCCTTATTCTGTTCTTGTTAGAAGCAGTTTGCACTGGTTACACTATTGTATTTCTTTATTTAATTATCATATTTTTGGTAACATTATAATTGATACAACCAAATAAGAAGCTGCAGATTGATTTCAGATTTGCTTACCCCTCTCTTGAGTGTGGTGTCCTGTATTTGAGGTATTTGGGGGACATTTGAGAATGACATTGACATGATAAGCTAGAAAAGTCAGGAGTGTCTAGTTCTCTTGGAACCTCTTGATGACATTGTTTGAGCCTGTGCTCAGCTTCTCTCTTATCTGCTGGTATCAGTCTCCCAGAGTCAAACGTGAGACTGCGTGCATTTAATGTCTGCAGCCAAAATAACCGGCGCTGCAGTATTTTATTTATGAAAGTAGAATCCATCCTGTCTGTCCTTGCTCTTCACATAAACAGTTTCATTTTTTTGTCATCTGGCATCCACCAGACTTCATTAGTTAAGGCTACTACAGTCTCTCCCTCTTAAAAAGGGTCAATGACAGGTCCTAAAGTCCTCTGGTTATCTTTTACTTTACTGTCATCATCTCAGTGGTACCTGCAAACACCCTGTGTGAGGTTTTTTTTACTGCTTGTGCCTGTAATCCTGTAGCAGTTAACCAGCTACTATTTAAATCATTTAATTAACCTCTTGGCTAGAATTGAGTTAACATCGTGAAACTTTTATTTGTCGCCGACTGAATTAGCAGCAGTGCTATACACACACAGAACACTCTGTCTCACCCTCTCCCTATCATCCTCTTCTCTCACACCAACCTTGTGCAAAACCTTCTCTGCAGTCTTCCTCTTCCTCTCACCTGCCTGGCAGCTCAATATTCAGCATCCTTTGTCCAATATATCCATATCTATCTATCCCATGCATATGTCCAAACTATCTCAGTCTTGCCTCTCTAACTTTGTATCCAAATGCAGCACATAGAAAACACATTAATCCAAATCTAGAACAATTAAAATGCAGTAAAATAGTTATATGAAAAGAAAGACATTCAGCAGAGAATTACTTGTTTCTCTTGGTGTTTAAAATGCTCGTGCAGTCCTCTGATTGTCGCACTGACTTACCCCCTGTTTGTTGTGACCTAGCAGGCGTTTCTGTTCAAACAAAAAGAAAAGTGTTGGATTGTTGGATTGGACTCGACTGACTTTACAACCCTGTTGATTTTGGCAGATTGACTTGGACACAATTGATGTCAGCAACCTGAACCGTCAGTTCCTCTTTCAGAAGAAGCATGTAGGCAAGTCTAAAGCACAGGTATGTAACTCACCTCTGGTCCTGCAGGCTGCAGAGTTCTGTCTGAGCTGCTATTTTAAACGTCCTGTGTGCACTTTATACATCCGTCCCTTACTCTTGTTGTCTTGTAGGTGGCCAAAGAGAGCGCCTTGCAGTTCTGCCCCAGTGCCAACATCACTGCATACCACGACAGCATCATGAAGCATGTTTCTTTTCTTTTTTTTCACAGTTTGGTCAGTCTGAGGTTAGCTCCTTCAAGAATGTACTGATGTGGGACTGACCATGGTTTGTTTTTTCCTTAACAGCCCTGAATACAACGTGGAGTTCTTCAGAAAATTCATGCTTGTGATGAACGCCCTGGATAACAGAGGTACCCTCGTCTTACAGCATTACCGAAATATCTTCTTTTACTGCTAACGTTTTCAAATGAGGTAAATAAAACTACGTGTTGCCTCCCCAGCTGCCCGTAACCATGTCAACAGGATGTGTTTGGCAGCTGATATCCCTCTGATAGAGAGTGGCACTGCTGGATACTTGGGACAGGTCACGGTCATCAAGAAGGTAGCACACCGATATTTTTTCACACAGAGATGCAAAAATTTGGCTGCATGTCTTTCGGCTCTTTTTACATTGTGTGTAAGGTAGCCAAGAACCCAAAGGGAAATGGGGGTCAGACTAAAATTCATTAAGGGCCTTGATTTTGATCTGTGCTGCAGATTTTTGAGCAAGGGCGGTGAACATGTCTCTTCTCTGCTGCTTCTTACCCAGGGAATGACAGAGTGCTACGAGTGCCAGCCGAAACCAGCACAGAAGACCTTCCCAGGATGCACCATAAGAAACACGCCATCTGAGCCCATTCACTGCATCGTCTGGGCCAAATATCTCTTCAAGTAAGCCTTGTTCTTTTACGCCTGCGTTCTTGTGCTTCAAGTTACATTTAATTGTAGTCTGCGTATTAGTTTAGGAAATATTAGTGGCTTTTGCCAGGCTTGATCTTGCAGGAAGAGGACAGGTTAGGTGAAAAACACATCATGAAATGTGATCTCACTGTGCCTCACTACCCCTAAATATTTTCTGCATGATCTGATCACTTCCTGCGTGCAGTTTCTGACACACACGGTTTTATCTTCTATTTTCCAGTTAAGACTGGACGTAGAGTATGATCTTCCTGCACGTGTTTGAAAATTATTACATTCAGTTTCATTTATTTAGCACCAAATCACAACAACAGTCGCCCATAAGGTGCTTTATACTGTAAGATAAAGAGCCTATAATAATACAGAGAAAACCCAATAATAGGGCGACCCACTATAAGCAAGCAGCTGGCAACAGTGTGAAGGAAAAACTCAATTTTAACAGGAAGTATCCTCCAGTGGAATCAGGCTCAAGGAGGGGCAGCCTTCTGCTGTGACCATCTGGGAGCAAGGGGATGGAGACAGAAAGCTGGAGGCTCTGCCTCCCACACAAATATCTGAGGGACTAAAAGTAAATCAGCAGTCTGAGAACAAAGTGCACTGTTGGAGTTACTCGGTGCTATGAGGTCTTACGATTAGATGGGACCATCAGATGATCTTTCAGAATCATCAGCGGATACTAGGCTGTGTGATGATGTCATCTTCTGTTGTTTGTATGTTGCCACTACAGTCAACTGTTTGGAGAAGAAGATGCAGATCAAGAGGTGTCGCCGGACACAGCGGACCCAGAGGCTGCATGTAAGTGAGAGAGAGGGTGGCATTAATGTGGATTCACAATAAGTTCAATTTTGAATTCCCTGTTTTGGTTTTTGCGGGGATACTTTTTGATTGTTGGGTCACACAGCAGGATGAATATTAACGTAGGTTGCTGTGTAAAAGCTGTGAATTCTGTTAAAAGGGAATCCTGAAGAGACGGCGGCTCGTGCCACCGCTTCAGATAAGGATGGGGACATCAAGCGTGTTTCCACCAAGGAATGGGCTCGATCCACCGGATATGATTCCGTCAAACTCTTCAATAAGGTAATAAATAAGCAAGAGGGTATAAATGGGATGGGCACGAGATGTTGAGTAGACTTGTGGTTGCCCTTGCTATTC